GTAACTACATGTGAATAAATTAGAATAAATTAATTTTACTAGCAAACATCAACTTCCAGTAACCAAATTTGCAATTTACCCAATGTTACCAAATTTGCAATTTACCCAATGAAAAACAATGTATTCAAGGGGGATCATTCCATGCATCTTAAACACTGCCAGCACCAAAAATAGAGCAACACTCAGAGCACTAATTAATAAGGGGAATTAAGGAGTTTCTAACAAATCCCATACAGAAAGATCACATAACACAGCCTCCGCCACCAAAAAACAGACACAAAATAACATGGATTTCTACCGGTGTATATGAACTGATCAGGAAACGCGAATCAACTAAAAACCAGAGCTTCAGATCCCAAATTGCACTGCTAGCTAGGCCAAACTATTCCATCCCATATGACCGACACTCTTCCTCTTTCCCGGCCTCATGCAATTTCTGCCTACCGTGACATGCGCTGAGAGTAGCCATCGCTCCTTGATCTATTGTTGTTGTTGTATTCACCATCTTGGGTACCTGCTCTGCCCAAACCACGGCCGCCACCACCGTAGCGGCCCCTTGGGGCATCCGTTATGGGGTACCCACCTCTGCCTCTTCCCCTTCCTCCTAATCAATCAACCAAAAAAAGAGACAGAGACACAGAGAGTCAGTTTCTGCCATGCTATCACAGGCTTTGCACTCTAATAGTATCCATCTATAATCTAATGGGTGCTTCCATCATCTAATCCTAGTAGGCATAGAGGCAGTCATTCAGCAACATGGGACAGAAACAGAAAACTAATAATAATACGTACTTCCACCGCGAGCACCAATACCCCCAGGAGTTGGTCTTCGTTCCTCGATGTAGACTTGTCTCCCAGCCAATTGTATGGGAGATGACTGCAAAAAGAAAATCACATTAGGGTTTCTTTCAATCACATCATACAGATATTGTCAATATGGTCACAAACAAACCAATTAAAGAATATTCAGGATTAATGCACATGCTGAATAATGGAAGGAAGAAAAAGTAAATTCAATAGACGAAGTGCAATCTAGATCATATACAAACCTTTATTGCATTATGAACACTTGCAAGGTCTTCAAACTCGACGAAAGCGTAACAAACACCAATTACGTCCTACACAGAGTAAAACACTTAATCTCAGTTCATTTACAAAGTATGGTATCAATCTAGTACCAAAAACTAAGAAAATAAACTCACTTTTCGGTTCCTGACAAAGACGCCATCGGGCCTGATTCTACCAAAGTTTCTGAACTCCTGTTCAATTTCTGCGGCACTAATATCGGATGGCAAGTTGCGCACATAAACAGATCTAGGTTCACCTGAACAAAGAAAATCAAGAACCAATTTTGTTAATTCAGAAAGTAATTGTTTAGTGTACACATAAATGAACTGAGATTCAAAACTACAATATATCAAGCACACAACAATCTTTATAAGTTTGCTACAAATGTCTACAAGGTCAGCATGAACCCATCACGGAAACTGAGCAAGCGAAGAAATTCACCTTCATCAAGTTCCAAACCGTTGTCATGTTTATCATTTGTAGCCTCTGGCACAAATGACAACCCTGCGTCTGACTGCTGGGCATTGGGTGCTGACACATGATTCCAATCTGAAGCTGTGTCTTTCTTAACAACAGGTTGCTGAGCAGCAACTGATGAGAATGGCCCCTTGGCAACTCTTAACTGCGATTTATTCAAAATATTATACGATGCAGATTATACATGCAGCAGATAACAAATAATGTAATAAGGAATGTTTTAAACCTATAGGTCATGCAGCAAACAAGTAATATGGTCATATGTTTGCGACATAATATGCTATGAAGAACAAATACAACATTATCAAAAAAGAACAAATACAACCAGCGACAGTGTAGAGATGCTCTAGAAACGGATAAGACGGAATGCAGAGTAGCAAAAAGGAAGATGAACAGAACAGAAAGAGGTGCGTACAATAGACGCATAAGTTTTCTTTTGTGCTTCTCCCACGGGTTCATCATCCACCACAGATGCTGAAGGTTCGTGCACACCATCCACAGCACCCTGATACGAAGGTGTCTCCTCTATTGTTTCTTCCACTACAGTATCATCCCGGAAGTCTTGCTGATGTTGAAGTTCTGGAATGCTGTACTTGTCAACTGGAGTGTCTTCTATGTGAACTGAATTCACATACTCCCTAGCTTCTTCCTCCAAGGCGTAGTCAGACACTGCTGGCCCAGGGACTACGATGAATTAATAACAGAACAAACTTCTTTTCACAAGGAAGTTAAACTAGATACGGAGAGCCAAGATAAGATACAGAGACTTGGTTGGGCACACTACAGCGCTCTTGGTGACTTTATTCAAATACATCACAATAGAAAAACAAACAAACCATCGATGCATATAACAGAAAAAGAACACCTTGTGAAGACTTCAAATTCCATACTCTCTTTATAAATATACTCAATATCCAGAAAAAAGAAATACATCTAACTTGCTTCGAGGTATAATAACACATTACCTGGAGGCTCAGGGAGACTAGCAGAAGCATTTTGATGGCCATCAAAATGTTCCTCTGATATGTGTTGCTGATAAATTGACTCAGAAGTCACTGGATCAGGATGCTGGTGGTAGATGTGATCGGTTGTACTAGGGGCTGAGTGCTGCTGATAGATGTGTTCAGCGGTGCTAGGAGCTGAGTGCTGTTGGTAGATGTTTTCCGATGCAGTAGAAACAGGATGGTGCTGGTAGATGATCTCACTTTCAATGAACTGGAAAATATCATTGAGAACAAAATAACCCTTCTCCTGAGGAGCCAGGAAAAAGGTCTGCACAAACTTCTTCCTGCCACTGAATTCCTTGGTTTTGACAGAGCCAGAAACCATCACCATAACACCTCCATTCCATGATTCAATAGAATTGATGGTCTTGATCTCAATAGCAGTGAAATTCAAAGACGTGATAATATTATGGATATGCTGCAAAGTTAAGTAAAACAAAACAAGAACTTCGTAAATATTAATATTGGCAGCAAAAAGGAACAGGGTCCCCGCAACTATACCACACACCAGCCATATACAATAAGCACCAAGAGATTCAGAATATATACCAAGTACTAATATTAGATAACGAAGAAAACAAATCATCAATTGACACTACAGGGCAGCTAAAGAAAGACAAGTGACCAAACAGCTTCAATCCCTGACTGGGGATAGTGGGTCACCACCATTAGAGTGTGCTATATTGTCGTGAAGCCGGGCAGCGTGAGATAATGAGGAAGAGGGAAGTACCAGCACATTCGAGGCAGTTTCACTGTCATCTCCCTCAACTCTGATCATGGTGCTGGCTTCGGAGTAGAACTGAAAAACAAGATCAGGCTTCTGCCGAAGCACTTGGTAGTACTGACCAACAAAGTACGACCCCACCTGAGAAGGGAGAAAACAGATGGCCACAACAGAGTCAGAATGAGATCCCAATCACCATTACCAAACCAGCAAGCACTGGCAATAATCATTCAACTCGAATCCATCTATATTCGTATATATCAAATGCAGAGAGAAATCAAAATCACCTGAATAGCAGAGACGGGTCCCGGATACGGAGCGGCCATAGCTAAGAGTGGCTGCTTCTGCTCTCCACCAACAAAAGCAAGAATCCGAACAAAAAAATCCCGCGCTATGAAGTCGCTAGGCAGATCGGGAGGAAATGGAGAGATAAGGTAGAGTTGCGGCGCCCGTCAAACCAGAAAACCCTCTTCCGAGATTTTTAGGGTTTATTGCGTTACGTATTTATATATACGTAGCCGCGCGAGGGGTTTTGGACAAGGGAGAAATAAAAAAAATAACGCACAAACGACAGACAGACGAGACGAACGGAGCCGGAGAGTAAGCTTATTCTCGGCGGCGGCTGGTGGCGGATAGAAGGAACACGGCGGGGTACGGGAAAAGAGGAGAGATCAGATCTAAGCGGCAAACCCACAGAGAGAAGAGAGAAAGAGAGCTGGCGCTTTTTCAGTCTTCACCAAGTCCCCAAAAAGAGAGTTGAGAAGAGTGATGCGAAGCGAGAAAGAAAGAGAGGGAGCTTTGCTTTGCTTCCTTTTTCCCCCCTAAATCCCAAAGCCGCTCCTTTGCTATTCTGCACCGTTCTGATTTGGTAATTACGCAGGAGTACTCCCTACGCGCGACCGCAGCAGATCACACGGCGACGGACGGCTGGCTGACGCCGTAACGGTAATGCGAACGTAAGTGGAATCCGGCCAGTCGAGTCAGCAAAGACAGTATCATCCTGGGGAGTTGACTCAACCGACAGTATTGCGCCACGTCGGATTAGTACTGCTGCGGCTGCCGCGTCACTTGACAGATATGGAACTGTACCAAAATCTAGTTCTCCTTTCAACTTCCGGAGGTCACGACCCCAAAAAGGGAACCCTACCTAACTTCAATTCTCTTTGACATTTGTCAAAATAGCAATGTAACTCAAAAGGAGGTGATAGTTCCTCTCCCTATTCATCTATGATCTACCTAATTCAATCCACCGACAGCCAACCATAGTACGGTTCTATATGAATGTTGCAGAAATGGTTTATACCGTTACGTCGATGTAGTAAGTGGTATGATTCAATAGGTGATATAATCGATACAACTCTGGTTTATGTCGATTATAACAAAATATATAGGCAAATTATATTTGTGTAGCCAGAACTTTGACGGTTTGGTCAAATATAGCCACTTTTGGCGAAATACCAAAAATAGCCGCTTCCATCCAATTCTTTGACGGTGTGAGTTAACGTGCTGACTAGACTAACGGATTGTCCGATCTGTCTCGTAGGTATTTTCCACGTGGATTTAATTAAAAAATTAATAAAGAATAATATTTAAAATTTTCAAATGGTCGTGTCTTTTGATTTATGAGAACTAAAAATAAATATAAATAAAACAAAAAAAAAAACTTCTCTTCTCCCAACCTACCCTCTGTTCTGATCGCCCTTCGCTGCTTCATCCTCCTTCCTCTAATCCTCGCCCACGATTTATGCTCCCTCTCCGACATATCGCCTATGTGTACAACCAGAAACAAAGATGCTCAGTTGACCCAATATCCCACCTCTTTCGATCCCTCTTTTCTTTCCCAAAAATCCCACCTCTCTCGTCAAACCCATACCCACAAAGCTACAAAACCCCTCTTCCATCTTCTTTTTTTTCAACAACTATCACCTGGAGTTGCAGTTTAGCTAGGCTCTCTAAGTTGGGAAAAACACAACGAAGGAAATTTCAATTTCCCCACCGTGATAGCGACCGGATCGTCGGAGAAGAAGCCAGCGTAGAGATCTGTGAAAATTGCGCATAGATCTCAGATCACCCTAAACCGAAGAGGTTTGATTGTTGGATTTGGGATAGTGACGATGAAGTAGAAGATCCGGACGATATGCAGAGCAATCGCCCAGCTGGGTTCCTGTAGAACCAAGAAGAAAAGACGCAAATCCCAGTAGAATCAAGAAGAAAAAGGCAGCTATAGGGATTCCAAACGGTGGCGCAGATGGATAGAGGAAGTGGTGGAAGATGTTTCTCCCGTAGCGACGGCGTCCCTTTCATTCACCCATCCCTCCCTTTTCACTTTCCCCTTCTATCTCTTTGAATCCCTAATTTTCCAAACCACTACTGCCGCCGATTCCTCCGCCACTGCACCGACACCACTTCCCTCTTCGCTCCCGGGGTTGCCCAGTCATAATGCCCTTCTCCCCGACGAAAATCCAAGCGGGAGTGGAGATCGATTGACTCTGGAACACTTGTGTTCGGCATAGCTGGGTCTTCGTGGCTGTGGAAGCGGCGCAAGGAGTTTCTGCGGGAGTGAAGATCTATTGACGCTGGAACACTTGGGAATAAGAAGCCGATGACGGGGAGTGGCAGTCTCAAATAGAGCAGCCGTAGATGAACCCAGAAGCAGAATAGTGAACAAATCGACGAACCGAAAGCAGAACGACGAATCTCAAATAGAGCAGCCGCAGACGAACCCAGAAGCATAATAGAGAAACGATTTTCTTTTCTTTCTTTGTTTCTTTTTTTTTTTTATTTTTTTCCTTTCTTTCTTTATGATTAATATATGAATTTTTTATTTGTTTTTAAATTAAAAATATGACGTGCACCTACGTGGCGAATGTGGCTGATATGTCGCTGACGTGTGCGATGATATAGCGTCCTAGTCAGCCTAACGTTAAACTAACTGACAACGGACGGAGTCTCTAACACCGTTAAAGTTTGTAACAGAAATGACTATATTTGGCACAAAAGTTTCAAAATTCTGGGTATAAGTGATATTTCTCCAAATTTTACTATTATTGGCACAAACGTGAAAGTTTTGACTATACAAGTGTATTTTGTCAAATATATAGAAAAAGTAAAACACTAATAACATCTCAAATATATATAACACACATTTCAAAGCAATCTCTATACAATCTCCATTCATATTTAAACAAAAATATAATATGAAAGAAGCCTCATATTTAAATAAAAAAATGTACGTCAAAATCTAAATATTTATACTATAATTCAAAAACTAATATCATCATTTATATTTAAATAAAATACAACACAATACGAGAAATCTCATTTTATTTAATTAAATTCATAAAAACAACCTCATTTTGTTTAGGAAAAGAAATTGTTAATATACTAAGATCAAGTGTAGTATTAAGAAAAGAAATTGTTCATATACCATTAAATATAATAATACCACTCTTAACTCCTGCGTAAGAGAATCCATCCCAATTTAAATCCATCCTAATTTCGTGGTGCTGACTGACTGCCTACTTGTGGGGAAATTTTATCACTATTTTTTAGATAAACCCGAAACCAAAGGCAAGGAACAAAGCACAAAGCACAGTCAAGTTTAGGAGGTCTCAGGTTCGAATTTGTAGTATCTTTATATAAATAAATAAAAAATACAAAGCACAGTAGAGCACCAAATAGGTGTAGTAACACTAACAAAACGAGGCCGAGCTTTTTTCAAAAGAGAGAAATTCAAGACACATGTGACATTGTACCAACTACGAACTCTTACTCTGCAACTAGATATATGAGATTTGGTCATCTCTCGCCTCTCCTAGGTCTCATCTATTTCTGTATCTGTGCTACACTCCCCCCAGTCCCCAGTTCAAAAACTCCCCTCCACCCCAGCCGAATGCCCTGTTACATCAAATTCAACGACAACAGCTTTTCAGTAGTAACTCGCATAATAGGGTTGTGGAACTGCAGCTGGCTGCTGAACCGGTGGTGCTGCTGCGGCCGCAGCTGGTTGAGCATAGCTCTGCTGGGGAAAGGCAGTGGCTGCTGCTGCTTGCGGCGGCTGCTGAGACACCACCAAGAATTACAAGAGATTATGTTAGATGCAAAGCTAAAGAACAACAATATTATGTGGTCAGCTTCGATCTGTTTTTACCTGGGGAGGATAGGTAGGAGGATAAGCACCGTATGCAGCAGTGGGTGCAACAGCTGCGGGCACCTGTGGAGCCGTGTAGCTGCCTCCATACGTCGCTCCTCCATATGCACCATAGGCAGGCTGCCACAAGAAAACAAAAATGAAAAAGAATGGTTAAATCTTCCAAGAGAGCATTCCGGGAGATTGATAAGCATTCAAACCAACTTAAAGGAATGCTAGTCTGATGCATGCTACGTGACAGCATAACCAGATGCAACGTCATAGGGAGGCGAAGAATCAGGCATTATTGCGTTCAGATCAAATTATTGCTCAAATCATTCCAGCCGTTAAACAGAGGAAACATACTTGTTGACTGTAGCCTGGACCCCACTGTTGAACCTGTGGCTGTGCTTGGGTAGCTGGAGGCCAACCTTGAGGTTGTACACCATAACCAGCTGGCCACTGGGTTTGCTGTGCATTTGGGTATCCACCAATCACAGATTGCGCAGGTGAAGCAGAATCGGTGTAAGATTTTGCCACTTTGCTCTTATCCGAGGATAAGTAATCCTCGGCCAGTCGTTTTTTCAACACCGATTTGCTCCTATGGGGCAAGAAGAGCTTAGCATGACGGTCTTCAGCTTTCTTGATTGATTGTACATCCCCAAATACACTTAAGAACTGTAGGGGGGAAATTTTCAATATGAGAAATCCAAGAGAACAGCACAAAGGTGTTTGTCAATGGAAATTGTCAGAATATTTTACACAAACTGCACTGAAGAGACATACATGAGCACAATGCAGACCCAAGACTCAACCTATGCCAGCTGACAAAATTAAGACAAGGGAGTAAGTACATCACCTCTAGGAAGATGCATGATAGCTCTTCCCTCTCCGCAGCACTTGCAGTACTATCAGAATTCGGTGCAATTAACTTATCCACCAATGAATCTAAGTAGTCAATTCGTTTTGGAAGGGACATAATTGACTCCAGATGTATAAGCGCCTGTATATTAAACAACATGGCAACCATAAGTTAATTCTGCAAAGCATGACGCAAGTTCTGTCCAAGGAGAACTTTTACATAAATAATACAACCCAGCTGATACTTAAGTGAATCTTGAAGCGCAGATAGAGGTCAAAAGGAGTGTTGGGAAAGCAAACCTCAAGCAGGGGTTTGGAAAATTGGACATGATCCAGGGCTGTAGCTAGAATTTCCCTGGCTTTCTCCGCATTTCCAGAAGCCTAACAAGAAGATTATATCCAAATAAATATCCATACAGAACAGCACCATGAAAGGAATTATACTATCAATCTCTGTTAGCTAAATCAAACATATTAATAAAATTATTTTATCCTTTTATTAAAGTAAGCATATCTCAATATCTCTATGACTCTATCTATCTATTCATAGATAAGAAATCATATGCTCAGCCTATTCCAGCAGGTAAATATTGCATTATATTCCTATAGTGTTCATAATGACTTCATTTATCCAGATCTGCATCCTCTTGACAAATTTCAGTTCCTGCTAAGTGCCTGATTGAGGTGTGCGGTAAGCAAGGCTAGCAGGTTTAAGAACTTCCATAATGCCGTAAAAAGGACAAAAGATCATGTAACCCAAACAAACATACAACTTACCAAATACACAAATCGTGAGTACTGTGCATACAACATTGGCAGCACCTGGGACTGTTCTTTCCCTTTTTCAATGCTGATGGCCTGTTCATATAAAGAGAATGAATTTTCAAGGTTTCCCTGCAAAAGGACAACAAAAATCCACAACAGTTTAGTATCATCTTTATAAAGGTACTGCACTTTGTTACATTTGTCTTGATCCAAACTTACCAGCCGATGTTCCATGTTTGCATGCTTAATGATAGCTTCTAAAAGGCCAGGCGCAATCTCAATGTGCACTCGTTCGTATGCTGCCCGAGCGCCAGGTATATCGGCATTCTGCTCTTTAAATCGGGCAGCAAATAGATGAATATCGGGTTGTCTCTGTTCATGATAAGGCATGAGAATCAAACTTCTTTGAGTACAAAAATGGAAAACAGTCGGACAGTCACAAGGTAGGTGGTAGTTCAAATTGTCAAGAACCAATTGATCCCAATAACTCGAGTTGTTGGGAGAGGTTCAATCGTGTATCATATACCACAACACTAACACGCCCCCTCAAACGAAAGCCACTCACAAGGGCTTGAAGTTTGCACAGGTTTGAAGACAAGAATACCATGTGCTTAACAAATGGGGGTCACCGGGAATCGAACACAAGACCTCTCGGTCACAGAAGGCTCTGATACCATGTCAAGAACCAATTGATCCCAATAACTCGAGTTGTTGGGAGAGGTTCAATCGTGTATCATATACCACAACACTAACACAAATAACCAACAAGTTCTTTTTAGTGCAAATCTTTTTAAGAAACCAAAAGAGAAAACCATCTAAGCTCCTCAACATCTGTCAGTTAACAAGCTCATTTCGAAACTTCACAGATTTTGAGGGATCTATGGATTTAATATTCAAAAGGTTGGTCAGTGTTCCCTCTTCTACATTTCTAATTTTGAATTCTAATTAAGCATGAAATGCTACATGCATGAGGTATTCAAGTCTACTTTTAAGAGTTTCATTCGATCACTTCTGCTTCTTTACTTTATCCCAACTGCTATGCTACACCGTAAAGACACATGAAGGATTACCAACATAAGAGTCTGAGCAATAATTGAGGATAATAACCTTTACAAATACTTGAGTAGCACGAACAAGAGCGTTATCGGCAATATCCATACTTCCACAGGCTTCCATGCACAAGACATAGCGGGTCCAATACTCGGGATAATTTGCACAGGCAATTAGGCATCTTTCATATAATTTGACAACCTGAAGCATAAACATCCAAACATCATAAACCATGGAACTTGTATGCATAAACACAGTACAGAAAGGATCAAAGCACAAAAGAGTTATGCATAAGAAATACTCCATCGGTGAACAGAAGAAAGAGAAAGGCCCCTCAAGTACCAAAGGAGGGACCCTCCATGCTGAGATACATTGTTAAGGAGACAAGAAGATACCTGCATTCATAACATATGTGTTTTAAGAAAAATAATAATTTTAACGCATACATGAACCTAGAATGTCCACCAACAAATGTGAGGGTTTGAAGTACTTAGCCTTATAGAAACCAAAACGAAGGCCCCAGGCTTTAGCCTCAGTTCAATTTCCCGTTTAAAAAGTTGCTTCATCCAATGGTTTAGCCAATAAAGCATAAGAAGCAGCCGATACTACGTAGCTGTAAGTCAATTAAGAACAACAGCTAAAAAAACAAAAAACTACATATCAAATGATAACCACAGATGGAGCAAAACTTCAATACCTTGTTCAGATCATCTTGTCCTTCCATGAAATCCAAATAATTATGCCAATTTTCAAGCTCTGCAGCATTGAGAGGCCGCACGTGAAAGTAGGGCCTCCTGATAGCATTTTCAAAGTCAGAGATCTTAGAATCGAACTCCTTAGCTTTCTTAAACATCTCTTCTCTAAGCGCGATGTACTTCTCCGACTCAGCTTCTGTTAATCCAGCAGTTACAGGTTTAACAGAGTCTTCTGGCTCAACAGGATGAACATCTCCTTCACTTGCTTGGCCACCATTCTCCGAAAGACCAGACGGAGGAACCGGAGTTTCCTCTGCAGTTCTTAATTCCGAAAGAGGTCGACTTCCAACCAATTCCTTAAATCTACAAAGCCAGAAAGTAACAGAAACCAATTATGCCCTTGCATTCCTAGGGGGGACATGTATCATAGGTATCCTTCTTACAGCATACATCGTCAACACTATCAGAAAACCCGAATCCACCTTATACCAAGATTCGCAAAAGGAGAAGTGAAGTACCAGTAAGGAAGTTTACCACCTAGAGAATAATTCTAAAGTAGCAAACAATGAA